GTAGGAGCCATTTTTGGGTCAATACCTTACGTTGCCGCTAGAGGTCACCTTTTTCAGTTTTCCGTATAGTAAGGTTTGTGTAAAGGTACTTAAGGTAGATGCATGTAATTGGCACCAGGTGTGTTGTTAATCGTAAGAAGGCAAACAGTTTGTGACCGCTGGGCTGTTATGTTAAAAATTATGTTGGAATAAAGACCAAAAAGACAAGATAAGTACTGCTGGACTATTTAATTAATTCATGCATACCAGTGACATAGCATCACCCCCGTTAACAAACACCTCATCGCTGTGGACCGGCTGTACGTGGACGGACCGCTCCACCCCGACCCCGACATCACTCCGTGGCTGTATTAACTTCACACCAGATAAGAATCCGCTACACCCTTTCCCTATCCACTCACACTAACTTGCATTAACATCTGTTTAACTTACTGGTATCAAATCGCATCTTAAGTGTGATTTCATAGCAGAATTAACACCGTCACTCTCCGTCAATGGTTTAATTGGAATGTTTCCGGGATTTTTTTCTTTTCCTTCTCGTTTTTTTTTCTCTCTTTTTCCCCCTCTTGTTTTTATGCTGCTCACCCTTGTCTTTGGTTTCTTTCTTTATTTCTTTCACTGCTTCGATCACCTGCTTCCACACTCATCCACAAACAACATCCTTTATTTCAATTTTAATACATAAAAATATAAAAGCATAAATATATAAAAATATAAAACATAAAAAAACAAAATTCTTAGTACAAAGACAACGCTTACAAAATTATGAACATGGTAATAAATCTGGTCAATTTCTAGCAAACCAGCTAAAAATAAATAAAGAAAAAACAACTATATGTGCTGTTCAAGATTCATCTGGGAACACAATATATGACCCGAAACAAATTCGGGTCATATATTGTGAAATTTTCACAATATTGTAAAATTTTCAGGGATTTCTATAAAACGTGGTATTGTATTTAGATGGGTTTAGAATAAACCCATCTAAAAAGGAAATTGATCAGTTTTTAGACAACATAACTCTCCCAAAATTATTAGACTCTCAAGCAATGGCACTGGATTCGCCACTGACATCAGGTGAACTCCAGGAAGCCCTGACAAGTATGCCCAATAATAAGGCTCCAGGTCCAGACGGCTTTCCTGCAGAATTCTGCAAAGAATTCTGGACGATTCTAGCACCAGTTTTTTACAGAACGTTGTTAGAAATCAAAGAAAAGGGCAGACTTCCATCAAATATGAATTCTGCAAACATTAATCTCCTGCTAAAACAAGGCAAAGCTATCGTGTGTTCTGGGGGCCTCTGGATGTCTGGAGCCTGGATCTCCTCCATACCTGCTTCATGCCCTGGAGGACGGGGCAGTGGCCCCCCACACCCTCTAGCAGATCATTACATGAAGGAACCTTTTAAAAAACAAGCGCGTCCATGCTCACAGGTGTACACACAGGTGATCACACACACAAACTACACCCTTTTTGGCTCCTACCTCAAAGCACACTGTGCACTGTCGATCTTACGTGCAGCACAATAATGTTTAATATTTAGTATTTACTGTTATATTCACATATATCATCGTGATGTTCTTTATTCTATTACTCTCGTTTTCTTCTGCTTGTTTTCTTTTTTCTTTCTCAACAGGTGATCGATATATGTATTTTTTGTCTGCTTATTTAGTTTTTGGTTTTTTTGCCCTTTATCCCCGTCCCTCTTCTCTGCTGTTTTTCCCCCTCTTCCTTTCTCCCTTTTCTTTTCCTCATTCAAGTCTGTCCCGTATCTAGCAAGTGAAAATAAAAGAAATAAAATAAACAATAAGGTGAATCAAATACAAATTGCGGCAAGGCTGGGATGGTCAATTTGGTAACGTAAATCCGTTGGGCATCTTTCTTTGCCTTTAGACAATAATTCTGATGGCAAAAGAACCAAACGGGACAGGCAAAAAAAAAAAAAAAAAAAAAAAATCCAAACACCTCAGAGGGTTCAGGCGTAGGCTTAGCCTCTAGGAACACTTCTGTCACTGTTAAAGAAAATACTGCAAACATCTGTTTCCCGCCTCTTGACTGTGCTGATTTAATTCTTTTTTTTCCAATGCTGGACTCAACTCAGCAAGTTCATTTCTACAGAAAAGTATTTAAAAAGAAAATCACGCAGAATTATAATTACTTATCCTTAGATGTAGGAGAAATTGCACAAATGTAAACAGGCTGAAGTTAATGACACAATTCCCCTATTTTTGCTTTAATCACAGAAAAAGACCCTGGAAGGGAAAAAAAACAATAACAACTAAAAAAACAACGTCAAACAAACCCTTCATTCTGTTACTTGTGATGTGTGAGGCTCTCACTTTATTTCTATGATGAGTTCAGAGCAACAGTCCAGCCAACTGCACAACACTTACACAGTTAAGGTAAACGAACAGAAGACAAGAGCATAAATATAATAAAAATAAGTTGAAAAACAAAAATTAAATAGAAAAATGGTGCTGAGAAATGAACATGTACACATGCACACATATGAATTTTGAACATCAGTCCATCGTCTTCCATTTTCCTTTTACACATTGCAGTGTCCCTTTTCAGCTTCAAATATCCATTTTATTCTTTTTTTTTGACAGTGGATATTTACAATGAACTTGGCTTCACTCTGTCAGAGTCTGGATATTATTTAGGAAAAAATTTGTACTGACAAACTAAAGAATAAAAGGGAGATCAGTGGGGACTAACAAAACAAAAACAAAGTCAAATATTAACATATTGAGTACATTTTATAAATAGAGACGGACATTTTGAAAAGTTCTGGGAACAGATCGATAAAAATCAGAAACCTCTGGACTGTTTTCAGTGGCGCTGTTGCTTTTAAGTCCCTCTCTGGCACAAAAAACTCTGCAGCATCACCACAGACCTCAAACGTGCAAAAAAATTGTATTTAAAACTAATCTTAACTTCACAACTGAGCAGTTTTCTGATGAGTTTCAAAGCCTGAAAGCAGCACACGGATGCAGATCAGGAGAAAGGGTGATATCCTGAGGCAGAACAGGAAATGGCCTGAACTATCGGGGGCTGAAAGCACCAACTGACTCAGAGTGTGTTAAAAAGTCTTCAGATTGAAAATCCTATAATCGTTACATTTACATTACCTGACTTGTTTGGTGAATTATTTTGATCTAATGGAGACGATGGTCTGAAAGCAGGAAGTTGCTGATTGGCTGCAGTTGCCACAAACAGCAATAAGTCAAAGAAAGTGTTTAAAAGTGCAAAATAAAAGCTTAAAGAACTTAATAAAATGCTTCATTAGCTGTGAGAACCTGCTAACCATGCTACTGTGGCCCCATTTTAATGCACTGTCTGAACTGATTTACTCTACGTCTGTCTCCTCCACCTCTCTACCTGCTGTTCTCCACCTGCCACCTGTTCTCACAGTAAAATCAAGCTCTGCAGAATAAAGTTACAGCTTAAAAGAAAAAAAGAAAAGAAAAAGAAACAGACTTAAAATCATTATAAAGCTTTTTGCATCATTTTATAGAAATAAAATAGGATATATCCCAAAGGCTTGATTCTGTTCATCTGGACGTTTTCAGTGGGAAAAATGACTCCTCCAAAGTGACTTCTTCAGTGAAACACGATTATAAATAAAAGGATGAGTTTTTCAAAGACCTTTCTCCTCAGTAACACCCTACAATAACAACCACAAAAAGGCTAATAGTTTAGCCTCCCACAGTTCTTCTTCTCTCTCTTAACCTCCTAGGACCTGGCGTCCACATATGTGGACATCACATTTTGGGTTATTTAGACCAAAATACTCAATTTTGCTCTACAAGGGCCTGATATCCACTTACAAGGACATTATACTGCTACTGTTCTATCAAAATTTTAAACAAATATCCTCATATGTGGCTCTAATTTTTCTTAGAAACAAAAATTAGGTAAAAAGAAAAAAAAAAATCTGATAATTCTTTGTTTTGACAATCATCAGGTCCCAATCAGCCCAAATATAAAAGAGAAATTAAAAATTCATGCTGTGGAAGAGTTCAGGTCTTAGGAGGTTAAGAGTGCTTCAACAGTAACAGACCTTCACAGAAATCACACGTGCATTTAATCACAGTGCCAGATTTAACTAGTTGAAGAAAGGACTGACACAAACAATAAGAATAAGAGCAAACTTCAAGCTTATACAACTGAAGCTGATGTTGTGTATGACAGCCAGTGGAGGTTGTTTTGGTCATATTTAAAGTTGAATTTACAGGAACACTGAGACATGTCAGTAATGCTGCTGTTGGAATCTTAATCACAAGATGATGCTATTGGCTTGTTTGCTTTTTTTTTCTTATTGACTCAAGTGTCTGTGAAATTAGTCCTTGTGGAGTGTTGGTCACCATTGTCTGTTTTTAGATTATTTCTGTCTCAGCAACAGGAGATTTAGAATTCAGCCATAGAAAGATCTCTGACATTTGAATCTAAAGTTCAGCCGAGGGACTATTGTTTATACCTTCTGTAGATCAAAAAAAACAACAGCAAAAAGAACAACACAAAGCACAGCAGAAAGTGACAGGCCAACTTTCAGTCCAACAGATCCATCCTCTGTGTGTCCCCCTGTCTGACCTGATCATCTCCTTCATCAGGAAGAGGAGGATCATTCTTCCTTTTTTTTAGAGATCACGACAGCGACCACAACAATGATCACAGCAAGTAACAAACCAAAAGCTACCAGTCCACCATGATGTCTTCTACCAATTTCATCCTTCTTCCCTCCATCCTCTGTGTGTCCTCCTGTCTGACCTGCAGGTGAGAAACAGGTGTGAGGTGTCAGCTGTCAGGTAGGTGATGAGTGAAGAACAGAACAGAATCCATTTCCTCTTCAAACTGCTGTCAGACATTATCTACTGCACTCTGATCACATCACTCAGACCAGCTGCTTTCTACAAAGTCTCATCAACAACATCTTTACAAACAAACATCAACAACCAGGAAGCAGCTTCACCTCTGATCACACACACACTCAACTCTACTCACTCACCTGGAGGATCAACAACACTCAAGTTTATGCTGCTGATGGGGGGAGTCTTCAGATAAGCTCTCTTCCTGCGGTTTGTTTTTCTCTGAATGACACGACACTCGTATATTCCAGCGTCATTAATCGTCACATTCTTCAGAATCAAAGACACGTCTCCATCCTTCATCTCTCTGTCCTGCAGATCCACCCGGTTCACAAAAGATGGATGCTGGTCATCGGGAACAAACAGACCATCCCGGTGCAAAAAGACATATTGTCTTCCCAGGTCAGCTCTGCTCCACTCTAAAACTATGATGTTGTTTTTTGCAGCTCGACATGTCAGAGTGACGTTCTGTCCAGACTCAGCTGTGATGTTTTTCTGATCTGAAAGAGAAAACAGAGCAGAGAGGTTAAAAGGGTCAAAGTACAATTACTCATTTTTTACAGCACTGATCATAGCTGGTCACTTAACAAGACAAAAAACACACTGAATCCTAAAATTGATCACATTTATAATTAAAGACTCGTGGCACTCAAACCCCTCCCCTGCTGCTGTGTTAGCCCACCTGAGATGTGAACAGATGAACTCAGGGAGAAATGCAAGGAAAGAGGAGTTGAGTAAACAGGTTCAACAGAATGAGACATAATTGCCTCAAAGTCTCATTTTAAACTGATGTTAATCAAATACGACATCTAGCACAACTAGATCATAAAGAATTTCATAAATAGTCCAACTAAATATGGATGTTACCATCTCATGTGTGATAGTGTTATGATATGTTTAACCTTTCAAACATCTTGAAGTTAATAACATGGATCAGTGTGACATATCAGGGCTGTTTACATCATAGTCTGAAACAACCTAAAAGAACTGAAACAACTCACGGATAAAAAGGATGGGTTGTGTAAAGCTAAATTCTCCCTTCCAAGGTTTCCCACTTCCAGCTATTCTTTTTATATACTTTCAAGTTTAAAACAAAACACCATGGTGGTGCACTGCCTGGTATTCGTATTGAATTTTTCACATTCTGCAACCAATTGCAACTTGAGGCGACTAAATGTTTCCCTTGATTTAGGCTGAAATTGGTTTCATGTTGGAGGCATGCAGTGTTGTGAAATAATAACTCCCCTCAGTTGTGTTCGGTCTATAGTTACGAGCCTGTTTTTCAAAGTGTAAACAGCAGTAAGTACAATTTTTTCTTTTAAAAGTGCAGGGAGTAATAGTAAAACGTTGTCAGAAGAGTAAATGCGTCAAGTGATCGTGTGCTGAATCCTACTCTGCATTTAATAGGACTACTGTGCTTTTAACATATTTTATGCTTTGTATCTTCTTCTATTTCATCTCAACAAGGCCCTAAAAACAGTCAGTGATCACTGTCGGCCTCTCTCGATTTTTATTATCGCTAATCATTTTAAAGCTCAGTTTTTAAAACCTTAGGATGTAACTACTAGAGATGGACTGATACCGATGGTCCGATACTGACCTAAATTACTGGATCGGATATCGGAGAGAAAAAAAAAATGTAATCTGATCCATTAAGTATCACAAAAGCACCTCACAAAACTTGAGACATGGTATAACCCAGCTCATAACTGTAACACATCGGAGCAGTATTCCATCACGTGATAGAGCGGCTGTGGCGTGCGAGAACTGTCAGTGGTCTGGTTGAGCATTTGGAGCCTCGCTACCAAACCGGCATTTAATCTCTGAGAAAGTTTTCCCAGAGAGAAGTAAAGCAAGTGTGTAAGTTCATCTCTGAATGTTTGTAAAGCATTCCCACGTTAAGCTTAACAACCGATATATGGAGTAACTGCCTCTCTCTCCTGCTGCTACTTCAATCGTGAAACTGATCAATGATCAGCTGATCGGCTTTTCTGTTGCAACTTCTGTCTGTCTTGTTTGTTTTTGGCCCACTTTACAGAAAGAGGAAACCAGCGGCTAAACAACAGCAGCACGTTTAAGCTTGATAAGCTGTTGTATTTATTTAATATTACTTTCTACACCAGGATCTTTTTCTACGCAGCTGACGGCTGGTAACTGTGCAGGGGCGGATCTAGCAAAGTTTAGCCAGGGGGCCAGATAGGACATGAACAGGGAAAAGGGGGAGCTCATTTAAAATGTCTAGCTTTTAATAAATAATTATTTAAATATTACAACCAAAGTTTTCAATTCAATTCAATTTTATTTATATAGTGCCAAATCACAACAAAAGTCGCCTCAAGGCGATGTAAAATCATCTGATGTAAAATTTACATAAATCCATTATTGTATATAGTAACTATTAAGTCTAATATATACCCTAGTAATCTATAGTACTTTTTTGAGCAATCATGTAACACATCATTAAATACCAGCGAGTCCAATTTCAGTAACCCTACAAACGTTACTGCTGTTTTAGTTGTCTTCACTTGTGTTTACGTTTATTTTATTTTATTTTTTCACATATCTCTCAGTCAGAACATGGTATATTGTATTTAGATAGAAGCTAGCGAGCTAACTCCCTGCTAACTTCTAACTCTGTTAAATGTAATAAATTCTGTTTTCATGGATGCCTGGATGTTAAACGTAATCGTTACACCTGGTAAAGTAGCAACGCTGATCATTTTATTAAAGATGAAGGAATTTAGGCAGTATTTCAACTCTCAGTAATGGTGCAGTAATCGTTTGACAAGGGACCTGCAGCGGAGTTTAGGCCCAGACACGGCTATAGACGTCAGACTTGACCGGATTCCTACAGTATCGTTTTAAGCACTTTATTATTATTATTATTATTATTATTATTATTATTATTATTATATCTATTACTCTGTGAGGGTTTTTATGGTCTTTACGTGTCGTCTAAGCGTAAAATTACTCATACTTACAATTAAACACTCGTTTTACTGGTATGTTTTAGCCCAACATCAAGTTCCGGAAACTGTTCCGACATTCACTGGTTAAATCGTAAAAAACTAAATTACTCCACATATTTAAACATATGACTCCATGCACAGTTTACCTTTAGAGGCAGCGACTTGCGCACAAATGCATAGCAGAAGACAGAAGACTGCAGAAATGCCAGCGTCAGGCATTTTTTTGCTTTCCCTTCCTGGATGGTGACGTACTTTTGGCGTCAGCGTCTTCTTGTGATTGGCCAATATTTACTCAGTTTGGCTTTTGTCGCCCCCTATTGCTCCGGAGGACACTGCCCGCAATTTGTTCCCCGTGACGCAATCATGGGTGGTTTGACAACTTGTTACATGAATTTAGTTTACACAGACGTGATTATCCTTAAACGTCCTCGGTTTGCTGAAATTGTATTAAGTAAGTACATTTTATTTATACAGCACTGTTTCAGACAAGAATCTGTAACAAAGTGCTTTACAGGCATAATAAAAATATATTATACGGAAACAACATAGTACAGATCCAAATGCCTGTCTACATGCAACAATGGAGTGATATGTGTGACCCGGAGGCGGACTCAATCCGATTCACTCATCCTGCGCTCCCGAAGCAAGGCAAAACCCTCGAGATTTGTATTTATTTTTTGACAAACTGGGGGACGGAAATTCCAGTTTAAACAACTAAAATACGCATGTAGCTGTATAATCAAGCACATTATAATTACATTAGATTACATTACAATTATTACTTCTATAACAGCATTATTCATAGCAGCATTATGAGCAGTAGTAGTTCCAAGTAGTTTTTGTCCCGACGCCGTCCGTAAGTATTTTTTGACGTCTCCGGTCGAAGATCTATATGAATCCTAGATTGTATTGAATAACAGTAACTGTATATAAAAACATTTGACTTAGGAAACCTAAAATAAAGGAATCCCCTCCAAAGTCACTGTGGTTTTTTGTTATGATCTGATTTATTTAGCAAACCTGTAGTAGCACCGCTAATATGCATTATAAAAAGGATAAACTCATGTTCACTGGGGAGCGACGTGTTGACATTACCACGTCTAGATTTACACTATTATAGTCTCAAAGTCTTTGTCTGAAACTATCCTGTTGCCAGACAGACATGATCCCACCTTACCTTTAAACGCAGAAACCAAACCAAGAACCAAAACCATAGTCCAGAAGAGTGCAGCGGGAACCAATGGCATCATAGCCATACTTCCTTTGCATTAGATCCGTCGATGAAGCATAAAATTCCACCTGGGCACCGCAGAACAGCACTTCACAGGCACCATACGCTCCAGTGCGGGACTTGAGCTGCACAGGGACAGCAGCACAGCACGCGAGCCTCGCAGAGCTCCACCCCTTAGGTCCTTGACTCCTCGAAATGAACGTGAACGTCGCCATCTTGCTTCCAAAGATGACATGCAACGGGTCTCGGTGTGTCTCAATCTCTCTCCACAGTCCGTAGTGGAACGCAGATGTTTCACCTGCTCGTCTCGTTCCATTGTAAAGCATTCCGTATATTCCAAATATATATAAAAAATAATCTAAAAATACGAAGAAACGCTGAAGCTGCGTGGATTCGCAGCACTGACGGGGAAGTCACGACTGATGCAACAGCTACTGCGAGTGGGTGTTTTTCTGCCCTGGGAGGAGGAGCTAATGTGTTTGGCACAGCTGGTTTCTGAAGTGACGGGAAACCAATCAGACTGGAATTCATGTTCCAGAGTCTCCACCCATGGAAAACAAATGTAGAAATACAAACAGGAGCAAAGTAGAATAACAAAAAAGTAAAATCTACACACCAAAATCAATTTCTGTTGTTTTCTAGTTCGTCGTAAAGACACACACACACACTAATTTTTTTTTTTTAAAAAACAAACAAACAGAAGAATTAAACACATAAACACGACTTGGGCGGGGACTCATGGCGTTAAAGTCAAAATTCAACGGCAGAATGACCAACTACTAGAGATGACAGTGGACTTCAGGAGACATCCCTCAATACCTCTCCCCCTCACCATATTAGACAGCCCGGTGTCTACTGTGGAGATCTTCCTGGGTACAACCATCTCCCAGGACCTGAAGTGGGAGACCAACATCAACTTCATCCTCAAAAAGACCCAGGAGAGGATGTACTTTCTGAGACAACTGGGGAAGTACAGTCTTCCACAGGAGCTGCTGATCCAGTTCTACACTG